CCGTCTCTACTAAAAATACAAAAAATTAGCTGGGCATGGTGACACGTGCCTGTAATCCCAGCTACTCAGGAGGCTGAGGCAGGAGAATTGCCTGAACCCAGGAGGCGGAGGTTGCGGTGAGCCGAGATCGCGCCATTGCACTCCAGCCTGGGTAACAAGAGCGAAACTCCATCCCCAAAAAAAAAAAAAAAAAAAAAAAAGACATGAAGGACCTCTTCAAGGAGAACCATAAACCACTGCTCAAGGAAATAAAAGAGGACACAAACAGATGGAAAAACGTTCCATGCTCATGGTTAGGAAGAACCAAAATTGTGAAAATGCCATACTGCCCAAAGTAATTTATAGATTCAATGCTGTCTCCATCAAACTACCATTGACTTTCTTCACAGAACTGGAAAAAAACATCTTAAACTTCATTTGGAACCAGAAGAGAGCCCTCATAGCCAAGAAAATCCTAAGCAAAAAGAACAAAGCTGTAGGCATTAGGCTAACTGACTTCAAACTATACTACAAGGCTACAGTAATCAAAACAGCATGGTACTGATACCAAAACAGAGATATAGACCAATGGTACAGAACAGAGGCCTTGGAAGTAACACCACACATCTACGACCATCTGATCTTTGACAAACCAGACAAAAACAAGCAATGGGGAAAGGATTCCCTGTTTAATAAATGGTGTTGGGAAAACTGGCTACCCATATGCAGAAAGCTGAAACTGGACCCCTTCCTTACACCTTATACAAAAATTAACTCCAGATAGATTAAAGATTTAAACATAAGACCTAACACCATAAAAACCCTAGAGGAAAACCTAGGCAATACCATTTAGGACATAGTCATGGGCAAGGACTTCATGGCTAAAACACCAAAAGCAATGGCAACAAAAGCCAAAATAGACAAATGGGATCTAATTAAACATAAGAGCTTCTGCACAGCAAAAGAAACAATCATTAGAGTGAACCGGCAACAAACAAAATGGGAAAAAATTTTTGCAATCTAACCACCTGACAAAGGGCTAATATCCAGAATCTATAAAGAAGTGTAACAAATATACAAGAAAAAAACAACACCATCAAAAAGTGGGTGAAAGATACAAACTTTTCAAAAGAAGACATTTATGTGGCCAACAAACATGAAAAAATGCTCGTCATCACTGGTCATTAGAGAAATCCAAATCAAAACCACATTAAGATACCGTCTCATACCAGGTAGAATGGTGTTCATTAAAAAAATCTGGAGACAACAGATGCTGGAGAGGATGTGGAGAAATAGGAACACTTTTACACTGTTGGTGGAAGTGTAAATTAGTTTAGCCATTGTGGAAGACAGTGTGGCAATTCCTCAAGGATCTAGAAATAGAGATTCCATTTGACCCAGCAATCCCATTACTGGGTATATACCCAAAGGATTATAAATCAATATTTTATAAAGATACATGTACACATATGTTCATTGCATCACTGTTTACAATAGCAAAGACTTGGAACCAACCCAAATGGCCATCAAAGATAGACTGGATAAAGAAAATGTGGCACATATACACCATGGAATACTATGTAGCCACAAAAAGAGTTCATGTTCTTTGCAGGGACATGGATGTAGCTGGAAACCATCATTCTAAGCAAACCAATCCAGGAACAGAAAACCAAACACTGCATGTTCTCACTCATAAGTGGGAGTTGAACAATGAGAACACATAGACACAGAGAGGGGAATATCACACACTGGGGCCTCTTGTGGGGTGGGGGATTAGGAGAGGGATAGCATTAGGAGTAATACCTAATGTAGATGATAGGTTGATGGGTGCAGCAAACCACCATGACATATGTATACCTATGTAACAAACCTGCACATGTATCCCAGAACTTAAAATATAATAAAATAAATAATAAAAATCAACATAAAATCAATAAGACCCACTGTTCAGAGCTTAAAGAAAATATGATACATATACACCATGGAATACTATGCAGCCATAAAAAGGAATAACATCATGTCCTTTGCAGGGACATGGATGAAGCTGGAAACCATCATCCTCAGCAAACTAACACAGGAACAGAAAACTAAATACTGCATGTTCTCACTCATAAGTGGGAGTTGAATAAGGAGAACACATGGACACAGGGAGGGGAACAACACACACCAGGGCCTGTTTGGGGGTGGAGGGTAAGGGGAGGGAACTTAGAGGATGAGTCATTGGTTTCGGCAAACCACCATGGCACATGTGTACTTGTGTAACAAACCTGAACGTTCTATATGTGTATATTGTTTTTCTGGGTTTTTTTAATTTTGTTTTTGTTTTTCTAAGAAGAAATAAAAACAAAGAGCCCTGACAGTACATAGATTAGGTAGTGGTTTTGAGTCACAGACCCTTTTGCAAGAATGTGATGGAAACTATGAATTATCTATGTAGAAAAATTAAAAGTGTTCATACTGTTTAAGGGAGTTAATGGACTCTAAAGCCCATCCAGGGACCCCAGAATAATAGACCCTACATTATGCATTCAGGTGGTGGTGGTGGTGTTATTTTAATAACATACAGCTGGCTGAGTATGGTGGCTCATGCCTGTAATCCCAACAGTTAGGGAGGCCGAGGAGGGAGATTGCTTGAGCCCAGGAGCTCAAGACCAGACAAGGGAACATAGTGAGATTTGTCTCTATAAAAAATAAAAAGAAAAAAATTAATCAGACTTGGTAACATGCACCAGTAGTCTCAGCTACTCGGAAGGCTGAGGCAGAAGAATTACTTAAGCCCAGGAGGTCAAGGCTGCAGTGATCATGCCACTGTACTCTAGCTTGGGTGACAGAGCAAGACCTTGTCTGAAAAAAAAAAAGCACAGGTTTGCTTTACAGAAGCTTTAATTATGAAGAAACAACCTAGAAGTGGGCAAAGAACCATTTAAAGAAATACACATTTCACACATACACAATTTTTTTTAAGTTTTTAAGAAGATTTTTATAAAGGTAAGAAAGTTTATACCTTTGCTTCAAAAGATTATGGACCTGAGCAGTCATTGCCATCCCAATTGACCTGACTTCTCAAACTAGCACAAGAATGTAGCCAGTAGTTTGGCTGATTGAAGCAGAGGGGTAAAGTGCTCCTCTCAGCAAAAACGAATCTCTGCGTAGGATCTCTCAAAACAGACCTAAGTTACTTGGTTCTAAATATTTTCACTTCACATATTTACAAGAAAAAAAATTTTTAATTCTTACATACATAAAGACTGCATTTTTCAAAGTGTGTTCACATTTTGGTTCCTGTAAAGATACTCATGTAAGAGTTATGGCAATTCCTAAAAAAATTAAACAGAATCACAATACGACCCAGCAATTCCACTTCTGGGTCTATACCCAGAAGTGAAGACAGGAACTCAAACAGATATTGGCATGCCCATGTTCATAGCAGCCTTATTCACAATAGCCAAAAGGTGGAGGTAACCCAAGTCTCCATTGATGGACTAAACAAAGTGTGATAAATACATACAATGGAATATTATTTAGCCTTAAAATGGAGGGAAATTCTGATACATGCTGAAACATGGGTGAAACTTGAAGATGTTATCCTAAGTGAAGTAAGCCAGTTACAGAAGGACAAATTATACATCATTCTACTTGTAGAAGATACCTAGAGTAGTCAAATTCATAGAGATAAATTAGAATAGTGGCTGCCAGAGACTGGTATCTAGGGAAATGGGGAGTTGCTGTTTAATGGGCAAGGAGATTCAGTTTGGGATGATGAAAAAGTTCTGCAGATGCGCAGTGCTCAGGGGCCTCCACAGAGACCCTACCCACCCCACCTCACCCCTGGGCACTTCTTGGAAAATAAAAACAAATTTAAAAAAAGTTCTGGAGGCCAAGTGTGGTGGCTCCTGCCTATAATCCCAGCTCTTTGGGAGTCTGAGGCAGGTGGATCATGAAGTCAAGAGGTCAAGACCATCCTGGCCAATATGGTGAAACCCCGCCTCTACTAAAAATACAAAAATTAGCTTGGCATGGTGGTGTACACCCGCAATCCCGGCTACTCGAGTAGCTGAGGCAGGAGAATCCCTTGAACCCAGAAGTCGGAGGTGGCAGGGAGCCGAGATCACACCACTGCCCTCCAGCCTGGCGACAGAGCAAGACTCTGTCTAAAAAAAAAAAAAATAAGTTCTGGCGATGGATGGTCATAATGTTATTGAGCAAAAGGGCTCACTCCCTGATGCACTAGAAGCCAATACTATGACACCAGGTTTTTGAGAACAGAAAAGGTTTTTATTGCAGGTTGACCAATAAGGAGATAGGAATCCAGCTCAAATCTGTCTCTGCTGACTTTAAGGCAGTAATTTTATTAGAAAGCTTTAGGTAGTAGATTCTGGGATTATATTATAGCAGGTGGTTGGGGGAAGGAAAGGGAGGTCTGAAAAGTCCTCGGGTGTGTGCAGTTATCTCTTCATGTTTTCTCATGGGTCACGTGCAAATTCAGATGGAATTATTATGAAATATGTGGTGGCAATTAAGGCTGTGTTGCCAGCAAGCTTGTTCTAGTTGGCCATATGGGTTCCAACTGATTTCAGCTGGTTTTTTAATCTCACAAGCATTTCAGCAACATGTTTATTTTCTTTTCTGCTATCCTATAAGTTCAAGAATTTCTGTTAATCACTGGCTTATTTAACTGTTTAAGGTACAAGCAATAGTTGCACAGCAGTGTGAATGTACTTAATGCCACTGAACCTGAACTTTATACTTGAAAATAATTAAAATGGTAAATTTTATGTTGTGTATGTTTTACCACAATAAAAAATATATTAATGTCAGCTAGGGTTCATAAAGATGATTGTTGACATGTATATAGAACACAGATTTGATTTGTTCAATATACTGACATCACAGATTGGTCTTCTAAGGAAAGATGAACTCACTTTCTCATTCTTTTTTAAAAAATCCAAATGTGCTATTGTGGTAAACACATTTATTGCAACTTATAAACTCAGTTTGCTCCCCTTTTTTTGTATCAACAGGAAAATCAAGAGGATCTGGGCCTTTGGGAAGAGAAATTTGGAAAATTTGTGGATATCAAAGCTAATGGTAAAGTTGAAACTGGCATAGTATTAAAACAGTTCAGTCCAAAAAAGGCTACATAATTCGATGTGAAAGCCCCTTGATCTTTGGCACCTAAAACAGGTGACTTTAACAGAAGAAACAGAAATCCCAGATTGGATTCACTATCTTTCAATAAGGCATTGGAACAGAGAAATAGCAATTATATACCTTTTGTGGGGAGCGTAAAAGAAATATAAGCCACATGTAGCTTACGGTCTCATGGAGGGGCCTAGATCAGCACACTGCTTGCACTGTCCATTAGGTAAGGCAGCTACAAATTCCACGTTCAACTTTTATGACAGTGAAGTGATGAGAAACCCAAGTTGCAGAGCCCCTCATTTGCAACATTTCAAGCCAGTGGTTCTCAACCTTCTCCAGGTCTCCCCATCATTCTCATGGGTCTCACATGCCCATCTGTCACATTTCTCACCAAGACTAGTGATGGAATTGGGGTTGGGGGGTTGGGGGCATCTCTTTAGGAGATGCCTTTCAGATACTTGGAACTTATGCAGTTAGGAAAGTACTCACTTTCCTCTTTCCTCCTCCCTGCCCTGTAGAATAACAAACCCTCCCTAATTTCCATCCTAGCCATCATTATCTACAGCATTGTATAATGATCAGGGCTGACAGAATGCCCCAAATTAAAAGCAGGGGCGTAGGTTCTTAGGCTCTCCTTTCTGTAACATCAAAATTTTTTTATCTTTTTTTTAACTTTTTTTTTGAGCCAAGGTTTCGCTCTGTCACCCAGGCTGGAGTGCAGTGCTTACTGGATCGTGGCTTACTGCACCCTTGAACTCCTGGCCTCAAGTGATGCACCTGCCTCGGCTTTCCAAAGTGCTGGGTTTACAGGTGTGAGCCACCATATCTGGCCATGTCATCTTCTTTTTTACTTTCTCTGTAGCATCTCTTTTCTGTCACAAGCTCCTACAAATAAGGACCATTTGATGTCAAATACTTTAACCTAAGATAAATTAAAACCCACTTTATACCTCCTAGTCATTTGCATTTTCCCATATCTGTAAAATAATTGTTAAATAAAGGAATTTGTCTTTGGTTAAAGGAAATCTGTATAACTACAATCACACAGGAGGTTAAAGGAAATTTATGTAACTACAATCACAGAGGAGGAGTATTTGTGAGCAACCAGTTATGGCCCTCCTGGTGCCGTTGACATTTGCATTCCTGGTAGGCAGTCACAGACGAGGCTGGCAGTAAGAATAAGTGATCAGGCGGAAGACATTCAGTCATTTCGTCTAGTGAAGACTGAAGCAATATTCTTAGCTTCCTAAAGCAAAGAAATATGTGATAAGGAAAATTTCGATTAGGAAAAAATCTAAAACTTATGTTTTACAAAGAGAAAAGAGATTTACTGTAAAGAGGACACAGAGAGCTTCACCACACAGCTAAGGCAACAGAACTAATATGTAACCGGAACTTTGCCTTATACGTTTTTGTATCCCCACAACACCTGAATATACTATCTTACAGATGGTCAGTACACAGCATTTGCTGATTGATCTAGATGAGCTCAGGTCTCTCAGCCTCTAGTTTGGTCATCTCTCTGCACTCAGAATTAACTGAATCTCCTTAAGTAAAAGGTGTCCTTTTGAGAAGCAAAACTCAGTATCCTGGTCTCTACAGGCCCTTCTTCCGTTGGTTTGGATTTCTCCTTGCATGAATTTGAGCATCTGTATGGGATCCCACAACATGCAGAATCACACCGACTTAAAAATACTAGGTAAGTGAAAACAAGAATTCTTATGGGAGGCTCTGGTTTCTGTATTGAGATGATTTGAAAGGAATCATCTCTGAGCTGTCTGAGCCAGTGCTAATATGTGCCAGGCCTTTTCGTCTTTGACATTGCTTGTGAATCTTTAAGAACCTTCCTTGACTGATCACCCAGAGCAGTTGTTTCCCTTTTTTTTTTTTTTTT